GAAGCTTGGCGCCGACACTGTTTGTATGTCATTGCTCTGAAGTTAAAGACGAAACGTTAGCTTTCAAATAAATATTTTAAATTATAATTTTGTTATGACTCTTTTACGTGTTTTATGCTGGGCATTAATATTTATCCTAAGATTACAATTAATTAAGTTAATATGCTGATCATTACGTAGATTGTAAGTACGTAAGTCCTCGCGTTTATTAGGGATAAGTTCATTCAATTTATTTTCCGGGTTGAGAAGTTTCTTAAAATAGGATTTACATAAATTATTTCGTCTTTGAGTGAGCAACGATATTTCATGAACTTCCAAGGCTTTGCGATATGACAGGTCAGGACATATTATTCGTAGGGCTCGCTTCTGAATTCTTTCGATTTCTTCCTTTAAATAGTCAGGGGAGTTTAAGTTCCAAACCTGGCATGCATATTCAAGCACAGGTCGTATACATGTGGTATAGACTTGAATTAGAGAACTCCCTCCAAGACTGCTGCGTTTAAGCACTCGGAGAAAAAAAAAGTCTCTTTGATGCCTTGAAAACTATGTGTTCAACATGTAAGTTCCAACAAAGATCAGAAGAAAAGTACAGACCAAGAACCTTTGCTGATAAAACTGGGGACATACAGTGATCTTTAATAAACAATGGTCGAAGAGTAGGGACGTCCTTAGCGAACGAGATAATTAGCTCTTTGTATTTAGAACGATTAAGCATCATATCATTTTCCGTGCACCATGGATCGATATTATTAATAACGGATTGCAGGTTACTTTGACAACCTTTACCGATTGTTTCGGAGAGACTAGTGTCGTCAACATATTTCCATCTATCTTTGTGGTTAATAGCCAAATCGTTGACCATGATTAAGGATTTATTAATATTTAGTAATTGCATCTTTTTTATCAGGATTTTGTGGTTGATTCTGTCGAATGCTTTACTAAAGTCAGGCAGAAAAACACGAACAGACTCGCCATTGACGTCTGTGTTAGAATATTAATAATTACTCTCTACGCTGATCTAAATGGATTCAAAAGCCCTTCAATACTTACTGGTGATACGTATCGCCCAGATTTGTTATTATCGTGCTCAAATGGTTCCTTATATGTGGTTGAACTCACCACTGGTTATGAGACAAACCTCAAAAACAACGTAAAACGAAAGAAGGATAAATATAGAGAATTATTGAGACAGCTAGGTAAAAATTTTAACCAAGTTAAATTTATAAATCTCTCCATCAGCTCTTTAGGTATTTTTGCAGAAGGATGTTATACATTTTTAGACATGTTAGATAGTATTGGTCTTGACAAAAACCACCAAATGTACTGCGTTAGGAAAATGATGACTATTGCTATTAGAACTACATATTACATTTTCTGTTGCCGAAATAAGGAATGGGAAAATCCGGATTTACTAACAATTTGACTTATCTCATTGTATATATATATATTGCATGCACTTTGTTCTGTTATTTTAGTTTAGTATAATTGTGATTCAAATAGCCAACCGTAAGTTACCTTTATGAGAGAGATTTACGATTGTATATGTATGTAAAGAAAAACATTTAATAAAGTTTCCATTATTATTATTATTATTATTATTATTATTATTATTATTATTATTATTATTATTATTATTATTATTATTATTATTATTATTATTATTATTATTATTATTATTATTATTATTATTATTATTATTATTATTATTATTATTATTATTATTATTATTATTATTATTATTATTATTATTATTATTATTATTATTAATATGAAGCTCAACAAGTGACTGTCATGGCGGAAGGACGTGCTCTTAATAAGCTTCATCAAAATGTTGCTAATACAAATGAAAATAGTTGTCTGAATTCCTTTCGTACTAGTGCTAGTTGCACTAAACTGCCTGGCATGTCTTATGATGGAGTACGTCTAAAGTGGACCGGTGATTTAACAAATTTAAAACGAATTGTACGAGAAGTGTGGGAGCTCGAAGGCAAATGGTCATCACCTGGGGGCCAGTCGAAGAAGTTTTCTAGCACAAACTCTGACTTAGTAGTCACATGGCAAAAAGGTAAAGCAAAATCTGTGCTTTTTAAAGGTAGAGACGGTGTTTCGGTGCGAGATCGATGTATATTGCTTTGCGAACAAGCAACTCAGTCCATGCTAAAGCCACATTTGCCAGACTCCAATGAAATTAAACTCTCGCAGCAAAATATTACAAGTGCGTGTGATTGTCCTAACCTATCGGACAGAAATATGAATGCCGCCATCGATTCCCCTTCCCCGGTTGAAACTATACAAGGCAGAACTATCCATCGTTCAGCTCCCGCTTTTGTCAATAATCTTTGCCAGACTGAGCATATGGAGCTGAATAATAATAAGTGTGGTTGTGGCTGCGGAATTCTGGTTGCTGAGTTTGAAGGAATAAAACTTGATTTAGTTATTTTACAAAAGAAATTTGTGACTGAATTTGCGACCGAACGTACCAATGTAAGCCAACTTAAGCGAGAAATGAAAAAGCTCATGAAAAAGATAAAAATAGTCGTCTTGAGTCGGACTTGACTTTGTTTGTGAGAGAAAGAAATGCCGAATTCGATGAATTGAATGAAACAATAGCCTTACTTAACGACAGAATCAAAACTAGTGAAGCAATTATTGATCAACTGAGACCTTCTAATGCAAGCATAAATTTTGAAGAAACATGTACTTTTGATTCTGCTCAATCAAAAGATGAGCTTGTCAGAAAATATCCAGTTTGTGTCGACATTAGTACGCAAACCAAGAATGACGATCAAAAATTATGTAATAATAATGCTGGTCAGTTTTGCATGAGTGAAAATGCGTATGTTAATCTCCTTAATAAGGTTGCCGAAGTGCGCAACGATACGGCTCATTCCATTAGTCAACCTCGCATAAATAAAAACGTTAATGCGAATTCCTCTAAGCATTTGGTCGCATGTCCATTCTTATTAAAGAAAGGACATTGTTTAAAGGGATCAAGATGTGATTTTTCTCACAATATTAGCCAAAGTCGCTTAAGTAAAAAGGCAAGCGTGAATCCCCCTAAAGAAGTCAACCACACTTTTCGAAGTAGATATAATCCAGAAGCACCGCATCAACAATTTCATAAGAATAAGTACAACAACCGGTGTATACGTAAAGGCCAGAACTTTAAGCGACCAGTTATCCATCGCAATAATCCAATTACGCCCCATTTTCGATGGTACCAGACCAATTACCATCCCCCACTACGATCCGAGAGACTAACACAAAGTTTAGAATGGGAAACATACTCAGACTTTGTCCATCAAATGACAACGCCCTATATGCATGGTAGACAAAAACTGACACAGTTTTCTAACCGAAAGTTCTCCGACCATCTACCCGATCAAGGTGGTATCTGGTCGAATCCGTGAACAGATTACTGGTGCTAAACTGAGAAGTAATCCGCATAACCTGATCAACGTTACATTAGAAAACCCATTACAAGCAACGCCGCTACCTAATTTAATAGATACTCAAGTGAGCAATTCCATGACAATGTCTAGCTCAGATATAGAAATCTTACCATCTCAAGGCCTGGTGTCTACCCTTCCCAAATTTTTTTCTTTCCAATGTACGATCCATATCCAATAAAGTAGATGATTTTGATGTAGTCGTCCAAAGAAATGGCATAGATTTTGCGGGAATTACAGAGACATGGTTGAATCCTAGCATCCCGGATAGCTGTATAAATATCCATGATTTTAACCTGGTTAGAAAAGACCGCTCTGGTCAACGCGGGGGTGGAGTTTGTGCATTCGTAAAATCAAATATCCCATTCGTGCCTCTTCCTGACTTATGTGGTCCAGATCACGAGAGTCTGTGGCTAAAACTTCGACCCTATCGACTTCCACGGGGAGAATATTCCTGCATAGTTGTTGGTTTTGTATACCATCCGCCACAGGCCGATAATAACGAACTGTATGACCACCTCATAACCTCGTTGGACAAAATTTTAGCATCTTACCAAACAGCAGGTGTAATTGTTATGGGTGACTTTAACCAGTTCGACTCCAAACGCCTTTGCAGAAACACGTCACTTAAACAAATTGTAAAGAAACCTGCCCGTAGGAATGAAAATTTAGATTTAATATTTACTAATATGAAACGTTGTTACAATGACACTGAAATACTCCCTACTATTGGACAATCGGATCACATGTCAGTCCTGTTACACCCCGTTAGTAACAATCACCGCCCGAATACCATTACCAAAGTCTGGGTCAGAAAGCGGAAGCAATCAAATATGCAGGCATTAGGTCGCTTTCTTTTGGATCTTAACTGGATATATAAGTCTCAATAATTCTCTATATTTATCCTTCTTTCGTTTTACGTTGTTTTTGAGGTTTGTCTCATAACCAGTGGTGAGTTCAACCACATATAAGGAACCATTTGAGCACGATAATAACAAATCTGGGCGATACGTATCACCAGTAAGTATTGAAGGGCTTTTGAATCCATTTAGATCAGCGTAGAGAGTAGAACCGTCAACAGTTTGTAACTGATGAGCAAGAAAGTTCAGGACTGAATTGTGTCTCCACGTAAATCGGTCGAGATAAAACTGACATCCAGCTACTATGTGTAGTATGTTTCAGGGCTAAGACAAAAAGAACAGCCTGAATTTGAAGATATTGCCCATCTGTTTAGGTTTTTGCGCGTCGGAAGAGAGTTGTTAATGTAACGAATGGTAAAGTTGTAAATGTTTTTCGGGAGCTTTGATTGGGCGACGGACCACACCTTGCTAAGCTGAGGTAAAGCGAACTTCGTGACGCTGCAGAAAAAGGATCCTTGACTGGTTAATTGGTTTGGGAGTTTGTTTTCGTGTCCAGAACGGAAATCTTTGAGAACTTCCTTAG